AGGGAGAAGGATTCAATGAGAATCCCTTTCCTCAACAAGATGCATGCACATGCATTTACAAGTAAATCCTTCTCAAAACTGTTTCTGAACTATTCTCCTTCCTCATTTAAATGACATCAATATAATTTGGGTGAAAAGCAAAGACCCACATTTGGAGGTTTATTTTACCTGGGTAGCTTCAAGGATAAAGTCATGGATGATAATTTGCTCTTCGTTAGAGAGGCACAGTCTGTCTTTGCTGATAAGGGTCACAGTAAAGGCCTCACAGTTCATGGATTCCTCGCGACTTGGCCAGTACACAAACTCATCTTCTGCCTGGAGAAATGAAACAACACGTTATTGCAGCCTTTGATACCTTGTGTGCAACTGAAAAATCCAGTGGATCAAAAAATTGGTTTGATAAATAGAGATGATCAGGAGCTGACCTTTACAAACCATTTCTGTCTAAAACAAATTTACTGTTACAGTAGGCAGGAAGCCTGCCAGATCCTCCCTTTGTGTGTCCAAAAAGGTAACATCTGCTTTTTAATTGGTTTCATAGGGAAATGGTTATCTTAGCTCATTCATACTTAACCTTTATATTGTATCCCAGGCTTTACTGCCTCCTGCCTACAGTTTTGCCTGAAAGTCAGATATTTGTTTAGAAAAAAATCATTGACCTTTAAAAATTAATGACATTATTTTTAATTTGTGTTTATTGCAGTCTAATCCCAAACTCAAGCTCTGTGGATCAGGTCTAGGTAGAAGATTGATGGATACTTATGCAGGGCTTGAATTTTTAGGAGTGAGTGGAGGAGTGAAGAGGAAGGAAGAAACACAAATATTCTTAGCCTTGAAAAAAAACATTGGCTTAACTTAATGGAAGTTCTCCAGCAAAACACCTCTACTGAAGGGACACTTTAAAATCTCAGTGAGACTGTGAGGGGTGGAAGAAGCTCAGTGCTGAAGTAGTCTGACTGACAGGATGTAGGTAACATCCTGTCAAAGCTGCTCTTTAAAAAATAACTGTGAATTCCTAATTTGCTGCAGAGAGAGGAAATTATGGTCTGTCACCACATACATGCAAAGTCTGTTTCTCCTCCTGGTTTCAGAGGTCTATGTCCCTGCAGTGTAAGCACAGAAGCTGCTCTGGCTGCATGCTCAGAGCACGCCTGTGTCTCTGGACAACCCATCTTTCACTCATGAAAAGGCACGAGCTCTGAACCCACGCCAACCCGCTGTGGCCACGCACATGCCTCTAAAACCAGGCGTATTTCTGTGGGTCCAGAGCTTTAGTGCACGTGACATGCAAGGTACTGTTGAGATTTGGACTGTCCATGTTTATTCTGTAAATGTGACATTAGGTTCTAAGTCCTCTGAGTGCCTTGACAATTCTGCCCTCAGTAAGCAGAGGCACTGGGAAGCAGTCCCTTCCCAGGGAAGGGACCTGTCCTACCACCTGACAGGTCTTCATGCAGCAGGTACTTTGCACTATTGTGTTGTCCCTTGGTAACGCAATTCAGCACCTGTTTCAGTCCTGTGCCACCCCTCCTTGCCAGCCAACACATCCCACACTGACCACTGAGCTGATGTTGGGCTGCTGCTGCCTCGCTGGCCGGTCTCCGCCCTGGGAATGGGGAAAGTGAAAGCAGGGATGTGGCCAAGCCCAGCCTTTACCCTTTAATCACTATTGTTCTGCAGAGCTATTTCATGTACTTGTGGAGACAAGATCAGCCTCTTCATTTCCACCTGACACACTTTCATTTCATTAGTGCTTTCCGATTCGATCGGATTTCTCTGAACGCTCCTCGCCTCGCAGTGCCTGCAATCCCTTTCACTGCCCTACACACAAGCAACATATTGACTGCTGCCTCTTTAGTAGCCCCTCATGACTGCTATTTTCCTGCTGTAATGAAGGTAGTTTCTCTTCCACTTTCAGCTACAATTGTCTATTCACCTCAGTGATGCGTGCATGAAAAAGCGAACCGTTTAGCTCTTAATCCTTTTCAACACGCCCTCTTGAGACGTGCTGGTAAATCTGGAAGTAGTGATTAGCACTTCACCTGTGTCTCCTTACTCTCTCTCTCTCTGATGCATTATTTCCACTTAAATTAACATATGTGTTTGCTTTTTACTTTCATTAAATATAGCATTTGTAGCCTTCCACAACCATAATCTTGCATGGCCTGAGGCTTAAGCCCATGGGCAAACAAGCAATTACCTACTGTCCCTGCCTTCATTTCTGCTCCTCTCAAAGTCCTTACCCATAACCCCAGCCCCTTAGTGCCCTCAGTGCCTTGCATCCTGCCTCATAGGTTGTCAGCTGCCTGTGAGCACTGTGGTCCATCCAGCCCAGGATGCCTTTCCCACGGGTGAGTGCAGGAGATGGCAAAAGAACCTTCTCCCACGCCTTGGAACTTACCTTTTTGTAACAAACCTATGGCAAAGTCTGAGAAGGTGGCTCAAAAACTGGCTTTAGTTTCAACCAGAACACAGCCACAGCAGGTACCCAAGTGACCCTGTGCTGTGCCCAGCTGGGCTGTGGCTGCGGTGCCACGCCGGGAGGGACACGGACAACTCACCAGGCTCTGGTTGTCCGGCAGCATGACAATGATCTGTGCATTGTGATCCCAGATCATTCGCCAGAAATCTTTAGTCGTATGTGGCAGTGGATGTTGTGTTATGATGAACTCATTACTCCTGTAGTAGCCCTTTTGAAGCAAAACAAACACACAGTTACTTGCTGCTTTCAATACTTTTAAAGCATTAATTTCATCTTTGGGGGACACATAATGACCCTATTTCATTGTATTCCCCAGTATTTTCACACAGGCTATAATTAACTCTATTTCCATTCTGCAGAGTCCTTATTGTCTTCATTTACTCTAAATCCCGGCATTTATTTGACTGTATCTCACAGAAATACACATCCCATCTAAATGCATCTTGTAATTAATTTTTTAGGCAAGAATCTTTAATAAAGCACGGCTAATAGCTTTACATTATGGGGAAGGTGTTAAAATCTCATCTGTTAATACACAGCCATTACATACAGAATTAAGACAATTATAGGCATCTGGTATTTAGCACCTTAGAATTGATTTTACTTTGTAATTAGGTGTTGGCTTCCTCACCATGATATAAGAGGCATTAATGTAATCTGTTCCCTTCATTCCAGGCAGCGGTGCCAAGCCCACTCTAGCACGCTCAGCTATAACATAAAAAAAAACAACATAGAAGGGAAAAAAAAAAAAAAAGGGAATAAAGATCAAAGTCTGGTCATGGCACAATGCAGAAAGTAAGAATTTCTCAGCTGTTAACAAACCAAACAGTGTGCAGCTCCCATCTCCCGCAGGAGCAGGCCAGCACTTTAACTGCGTTAAAGCACTGCCTGCTAACACAGGATATAAAAGAGAATGTTGCACAATATTCCCACAAGGACAAAGTAATTTCAGGAATCAAATTTTACTATAGCAAAGATTTTCACAGCAGGCTGAATTACCAAATAACAGTATATGCAGTGATAACAGGGGATTTCATGTAATTCCTGACTGTAGTGTTCCATTTGTCTCCAGCAGCACACAAACCCAGCTGATTTATTTTGTTTTCCGGCAGCACTGCCATCATTCACAGGGTGAGAGAACCTCCAGAGACAAACCCCTTCCCTAATGGGGAACCACCCAGCAGCATGTGTGTGCGCTCTTCAGCAAATCCACACTCCTCTGTGTTTAAAGGCTGAGCTCAACATCATCCTCAAACCCTGTGACAGGCCCCAAAAGCGCAACTGGAATCATTGCAGCTGCATGACCCAATGGGCAAAGCCATACAGATTATTTCTGCCCCGTTCACATCTGTTTTTAAGATATATTCTGATGACTTCCACTTTAATTAACAAACTTCATGATGGACTGTGTCTGTGCCACTGTTCCTTTGTGCTGGCTTGGCTATCATCTGTCCTCAGTCCTGTACTCTGGGTAATGTCATGGGCACTGACGTTGTGTCCGTGCTTGGTCTGGTGCAAATTCATGCTGCTTGACAGCCACGCACAGATTCCATATTAATGACTGTGAAACTGTCCTCAGGCACTAAATACCCTCAAATCTGGGTGGCTCTCACAGTGAAATTGAGTGCAGTAGCTGAATTACAAACAACTTGTGCCAATCACCCTGGGAGATCTCACCGGAGCTGGGAGCGGAATCAAAGTAATCTCTCAGTATTCCATAGATTTATCCCCTACCTAATTATTCAAATTCTTAAGCACTTCAAATTAACATTTCACTTGGACAGTATATCTGGCTGACACTGCAACTACCTCCTTTTGTTCAGTTTCATCAGGGTAATACCGAAAGACAAGACAGCTTGGACTGAACAAAAGATTACATTTCCCCTTCCTACTGGCTATGCCTTTTCATGCATAACACCAGGAGAATTCGGTACAAAAAGTTATGCTAGGCAGTAATCAAACTGAAGATGTGATCTTACACGGCACGACTGATGAGTTCCTGTTCTTCTCTTTGTTGCAGTCTTTCTGAGCACTGAAGCATTCCACGTATTTTGCATTACACTGTGTAACCAGCTGAAAGAGAATAAAGTAGTAAGTCAGTCCTCAGAGCACACTAAATGAAGAGAGGAGGTTTCTTTGCCAACTCCTGTGAAGATGCATTAGTAGAAGAATAAACTGCATTGTTAAACTTGTTTAAAGTACTCAAGATGCCAATGGAAACAATTCTTTTCATACAACATGTTTAATGGATAAAAAGATCTCTGCAGCTCTCAGCTTCGAAACATCCTGAAAATGAAGTTCCATCAAAATGTATTTTCACAGAACACTAAGTTTCGTTATCTTTGAGAATATATTTCAAAGACTTGCAGATATGTTCAGTCAGAAGCAGGTCTCAAGGAAGAAAAGCTAGCAAAACAGAACAACAGAACTTTTATGGTTTGTTTTTCCTTTTTTTTTTTTTTTTTTTTTTTACTCCTCTAAAATAAAAGTCAGATCATTCCTGCAGAATGTCGTCTTCTGCCAGGCCTTTGGGGAACCCACCACACTGCCATCTGAGATCTGAGGCCATGGGTTACATTCTCTGGTCTGTCATGTTCATTCTGGGATGCTTGGAAGCACAAAGAAAAGTCAGGGAGGCAGATTTGTATTTGAATATTCCCACCGTGCATGGGAAAACTCTACCAGAGCAAAGCAAGTAAAGGTGGCTTTCTCATCTCCTGCATTAGCAACTCATTGCTCAGTGTAATTTCACTCTAAGATGGTTGAATGTAACTTGCTGTACCAGGCCATGAGCACAAGTTATCTTCGGCTACCTCTGTGGCAGCAAAAGAAAGAAGAGAAAGATACAGTAATTGTTGCTGGTCACATCCCAGTTTGAAATACATTCTGAATAAGTCAGCACTTAACTCATCTATGCACTGTCATAAGCCCCCTTAGAAATTATGGGGGTTTCTAAACCTGTGCAATGTTGGCAGAGAAAGCAATTTCTATAAATGGCACTTAGGGTTGTGAAACTTCGTCACAAGCCATCAGAAAACATATAATTGACACATATAATTTAGAATCATTTGTAGAAATGCAACTCTTTTTTAAAATAAGAAATGTCCTACTGCATTTTGTGTGTGTGTGTGTGCTTCTTTAATTTAGTAATTAAGCATCTGGAATGTCTTGACTAATGGAGAAATACTGAGACTTCTACAAGTGAATTCAGAGAAGAGCCTGTTCATTTTTTTAACAGCTTGGCACCTGGTGTAATTTAACAGTTTTGGTTCCTTGGGTAGTTATTGGGTAGGTATTAACTGAGTTTAGCTGTGAAAACAGATGTCACTTACAATCTCTTTATGATAAAAAGTCTCATAAAATATTTTAAAATGCATTCAGATAAAATGCAATAAAAAAATCTTAGGTTTCAAATAAGAGATCAGGGCAAAAAAAATTACTTTGGCCTGGAAGCAAGTAGCTACGACATAGCAGGGAAACGCAGCAAGCGTAGTTATTGGCAATGACAAAGGCATGTTGTGCTTCCTGGTCTTAAAACATTTTTAAGTCTTTATCTACAGTGCTGAAATAGTAGGTGGTGCAAAGATCTCATGATTAGATTCTAATCTGACTTCCAGCCAGGCTAACCACTGACTTGGGAACATCCAAGCCCCCTTGGGAACAGGTTGAGCAGCAGCACAGTCCAAACCAGTGTCCATGTCCCTCTTCTCATCTCTGACTGAAGAGTGTCAGCACTGATTTCCAGCAGCATAGCTAAGACTGTAGAGGACTGAACTTCTCAAGTTGTGTAATCAAGCGTTCTGTTTTGATTCCTTATCCATAACAACTGACAGTGAAGACAGGCCATGCCAAAGACAGCAGGTAAATTAGATCCCTCTGCATGGCAGCAATAAGCCTTACCTTGAACTGTTTTTCTAGTCGTGTCTTCCCTCCTATGCCAGGTATGAGGATGCTGTTAACATAACTATGCAGCTGGTTTGCAGACACTTCAGTCTCCTTCCCAAGGATGGCTTCCAACAAGGCATCATGAATAAAAATGTACTGCTCCTAGAAAAATATCAGCATGTCAGGCGGGCACCTGGAATAACCTAAACAGCTGGTTTTGACTAAAGGGGTAGAGCACACTAAAGGAAAGGGTGTACAAAACAAACCACCCACGCAAATACTGCCAAACCCAGAATAAACATTTATAAACAGCACAGCTAGGAAAGAGTCTAAAGTAAAATCTGAAGTTTCTGGTTTAAAAAAAAGAGGCGTTCTAGTGCAAAAAAATGCCAGTAATGCATTAAATTTTTACAGGGATGTAACTGGAAAAATCTATTTTCTTTTTGATTACAACATAAAAATGAGCATGACTTTAAATTCAACCCTGCTGCAATTTTTACCTCTGTCTGGACGAGGTAGTTGCGCTGTGTCCTGATATGTTTCAGGAAACCCAGGACATTAACTGTGCTTTTGTCTTTTATTTGTTGCAGCATACTGTCTATCACAATGTAGGTACCAGTCCTGCCAACACCAGCACTACAGAAAACATAAGAGAAACCCATGTAATACAATTATATGAAAACAAATGCAAAAGTAACACCAGAACAGAATCAAGCAATATTCCCGTTCACAGACATTATTTCCCTGCTAGCTTCAACCACTAAAGTATCTCAGCAAAATAATTAGGTTTTCTGGGAATATTACCAGGTATATATTTCCTCCCTTCTGTGGGTATTTCTGTGGTGCAAGATGAGGATGAACACAACAAAAACCATCACACCTGTGCCAGCAGAGTCAGGATGGAGCTGCCATCGACCTGGACTTCACACTCTGGCTGTTCACACTTGGCTCCTGTCAACAACTGCTGCTGTTACTGGAGTTGGCTGAAAGAAGCCATAGAGAGATCCAGCCTATGCCAAGCTGCTGCTATCCTGGACCATCAAGGTCACTCTAGGCTGTGAGGAGTGAGGAGCATTCCAGTGGAGCTGGAAATGCAAGTGGTACCAGCACTGGGAAGGCATGAGAAGGGGCTGATGCTTGCAGGACTCCTTTGCAAGGGAGGAGAGTGGTCCTGGGCCCAGCAGAGAGGGGAGCTCTTCTGAAAGTCTCAGTGATGAAGACCATATCCCTGAACTAATTTACTGACTGATCTATTGTCCTGACTGCAAGTGCTGGTGAGTGTGATTCAGTGGCAGTGGCATGCCCAGGTGTCTGTGTGTTCACACGGCTGGCTCCCAGCAGAGTGATCCTGTCCTGTCCATGCCCTGAACGGACAGGATACAAACAAGCTTCAACCAAGGAACTTCACAACCACACCAGTGCAATGTCTGGGAGCCCAGTATCATGGCGTTAGCAAAACGCTGTGCCAACTGGGAAGCTTTTGCATTGGAGCTGTCGTAAGACGTAGGCAAAGCAAGATCACGTGTACCTGCACCCCACAGGGCTGGCACACTCCTCCTGTGTTAGTAACTCACGGTGTTGCCGTTAGCTGGCATGAAAGAGCACACACTGTGCACCAGGTGTGCTTGCCTTGAGGTGTTCACGGCCATCATACCTGCAGTGCACCACCACTGGTCCCATGTCCGGGGTCCTGGCTGCGGAGGATCTCCTGACGAAGGTGAGCACGGGCAGCGCGTACTCGGGCACGCCCATGTCGGGCCACTGCGTGTAGTGATACTGAATAACCGTTCTCTCGTTCTGCCGCCCCTTGGGGTTCCCTTTCTGACCCTGTGTGCAAAGTGTGTGCAGAGAGGAGGAGGAGATGAGGGAAAAGAAGTAGAGAAATATGATCAGTCCTTCTGGCTTGCTCAGCTGAGACAATGGTGGACTCTGACAGGAGAAATCTTCCTCAGCTCTGCCTCCTGCTAGGTGGAGACAGAGTTCAAGGAAAAATACATGTGGGAACAGGTAATAACAGCAATAACCGTGACACCAAAGCAGCAGTGAACTAGAGAAAAAGAAATACAGGCTGAACCTTTCACCAGGATCCTTGTAATCCTGGCTTTGCTTACTTATTTCCCACCCACCCGCCCCTTCAAGTTGCCTAAGCAAACCCTGGGTTTTGCTCCGGTGTGCCTTGCATCCTACAGATGCCAGCAGGCACCTGGATGAGAACTCACCTTTTTCATCTTCGTGTTCCTGACGGTGAAGCGGCGCAGGGTGTAGCAGGCATGGACGTTTGTGCTCTTCAGCGTGACGATGATGTTGCCGTACTCCTCGCTGTTCTCTGTCGGCCAGTACTGATCGCATTTCCTCTGAACAAAGACACAGTCGGGTGGGTTGGCTGAGGGTTTGAGCTGCTGCTTTGTGTTTGTGTTTAGAGCTTTTTAGAAAAGTAAAATAATGGTGAGCTATGCACCCCTCTGTAATGTTAGTTATGTGTTATGCATCAATATGTATCAACCCAAGCCATTTAAAAACAAATTCTGCCCAGGTGATTCAGGGAGGTGTTAAGGAGCAACTGCTAACAAACTAGAAAATCTCTTACTCTTCCTTTTTCAACAAGGTTTGTGATCATGACAATGATTCCAGTATTTTGTTCCCAAATCATCCTCCAGAAATCTTCAAAGGTAGACTTTAAAGGTCCCTGGGTAGCAATGTAGGCTTTTGCTTTGTTGTAACCCTTCAAAGAAAACCATAATGCCAAGTGAGATGAAAGCAATATCATGGCAGACATATTAATATTTTAAAAGTAACAAAGGAAGGTGCTTTTCTTATTCCAAATAGCGAGGAATTCACAGTAAAATTAACAGGTGAAGCTGAAAAACACAATCACTTCACAAATGGCAATACTTCCTCCTTGTGGAAGGACTCAATGGTAGAGAAGATAAAAACAATTAAAGCAACTTACATCGACGTAATTAGCATTAATGTAGTCACTGTGCTTAGAATCTTTCCCCGGTAAAGGCCTTAACTTCACCCTGCTGTGATCATCTGCAGGATGAAAAACAGAGCAGAGAAGCATTAAGGAAACACATGGCAGAACTGCAGGCAAACATCCCATTTCCTGGGTATTGGGGTAGCCCCTACTAATACACAGAAGAGATCAGCCTTGGATTGGAGTCAGGAGGGAGATGGAAACGTGTTCTTGGTCACCTGCTCATGATAGCTGGTCATCAGTCTTCACATCCTTAAAAGTACATGCTTCATGCTGGAACAGATTCTCTTTAAAGAACACTGGAGCCTCAGGAGCACAACTCTAGGATCATCCACATCACACAGAGTACTGTGGTCAGAGAGCCAGGGCACCCCATGGAGCTGTAACACCGTGCAGAGACATGGGCACAGCTCTGGCAGGCAAAGCAGCCTCTGCTTGGCTCATCATCCTCCCTCAGTGCTGGGCTCAGACAGCTCTACTGGCTCTGGGAGATGAGTGGATGTCCTCACTCCTTCACCACCATCATCACATCACCAGGATAGACTTGAGGGCATGATCTGCAGCTCCTCTTTTTGTTTTGCCCAAATGCTTGACTTTGTCTTAAAGCAGAAAGAAATCTCAGTCCTTCTGTTCCCAGGCAGAGGCACTGGGCTGGGTGGTACTGCCAACTCATGCAGGGCTGAGACACGAGCCAATTTTAAGCATGGAGACTGTGGTTTCAGTTCCTTCCGTGAGGACCAGAAGAGAGACTTTCCTCCAAGGACAATCTAGAGGACTGAAGTGCCTGCTCCAATTCTCCTCCAATGGCACATCTCTGTGCCTAGAGGGACCAGGCATCCATGTCTAAAATGACAGCTGGGACAAGCTCAAGGAATGCCCTTGCCCAAGGCTGCACAGCAAGCCTTTCACAGGTCTGGGAATTGATCCTCAGCTGGCACCTTCATGACTTATGAGAATCTGTTAGACATGTATTTCCTTCCTATGCCATTTATTGCAATGTTTATGAACACTGTGAACTTTCTACCAGTGGTTCTCCATTTCTGTTCCTAAACCACAGTGACTGTTGCATCTGTGATCCATGCCACATCAGAGAACAACATGGAAAAAGTTACTGCACTTCCATCCCAGAGGTGCAATAATTTGCATTCTGGAGCAGAGTCCAGATTTGCAGTTCTCAGAGGGATACAAGCAAAGCCTGCTCTATGCTACAAAGATCGCTGTTTGTCCAAGTCCTACACACAGCTGAGGCAGTTTGAAATACAGCAGATACACTCTGAAAGATTTAGCACCTTTGGGATTGTAAGGTAATCCCAAGAATCATCAGTAAAACTCTTTGCTCCACCATGCACTTCCCTTAGGCCAGTTTTCAGGCATTAGCAGGCAGAAGAGCTCTGATCATCAATTGATCCCAGTTATTCCTCCACAAAAGTTCATACCAAACTGCTACCTCTAAAACTACACATGAAACTGTAAAACATTTCAAAACTAAAGATGGAGTAAAATCCTGGCTCCAGAAAAGTTGTCAAAACATCCAGAGCCTTTAGAGGAGAAATGGCCTCCCAGCCACACTTTCTCATGTTTATTAATGACTGTGTAATAATGTAACCTGGAGCCACCTGCCTGTCTCAGCCACACACAGACACCCCGTGAGAGGACAGTGTCTTCTGGGGTTGATTCACTGTGCTTAGGCCAGTGGTTACTTACAGGCCAGGATGTTGATGTATCTGTTCTTGTGCTTGTTGTCGGGGTGGTTGGAATGCTCTGCAGTGATGTTCATGTCGGCCGTACAGCGTTGCACTTCCTGGGCATAAAAATTATTCAAATGGAAAATATGTCAGTCCAAAAAAAATGGATTTGTCTTTTTTTCTCTCTGCAACAGCTCACAGAAACAATGTTTAAAGTATCAGTACCTTAACTGATGGGTTAAACACAAAGCCTTCCAGCACTGTCCTGTTTACCACGATTTGCTCACACTGAGCCCTGAGAGTTGCCCCTGGTGCACAGCTATTCTCCTCTCCACAGACCTGGGGGCAGATGCTCTTTGAGCACCCTGAGGGCCGACTGTCCCCTCTGACCACCAGTCCACCGCCTCCTGCACTGCATCTCCTGCACCTCCCTTGGGGAGGGAAGAGAAGGTCCCTCAAGGGCAAGAGTGGCCAGTGCAGTGTAAGAAACTAAGCACAAAAAACATTTCAACAGAAGACTTTTGACTGCTGGACAACTTATCTGCTCATAACCTCTCAAAATGGGGTTTCTGACATTTACGTTTGGCACTGACCTTTTGTTAGTTCTCTGCAGAGAGATGCCTTTTGTAAAATATAAATAAAATAGATCTCTGAAGATAACAGCGAGTGCTTAAATATCACTGCTTGGACACTGATTAACGGCCCACAATACAGTGGAAATGATAAAAGGTTGTATCCATGTATATATACATTTACAAAGCAGAGAGCAGCCAGGCTTGCCAAGGTGTTTATGAAGCCAGAAAGGCAGATTTCTGTCTAGTTAAGGCTGTAGGTTAGATACCTAATTCCCATTGATTTTTTTAGTTCTCAACTCATCCCTTACTGTATTCAACAACGGAGTACAGGGCTATTGAAACAGGGCAGTGGAGGGTCTTTTCTCTGACTTTAGAGAGAAGCAGCCATTCCCTTTGGCCAGACCATCCTCATACACCTCAGAGACTTGCCTCATAAACTGAATCACTCGTGTGATTCCATCTCCAAGATACCTTTTTTTGGTATCAATTTAACCACAATCTTTCTGAAAAAGTGACCCCCCTTTTTATCACTAGCATAAATATTCTTCATGTAAAGACAACTTTTTGGGAAAAAAAAAATCAGTATTTGGAGTTTACAAAGTTGTGGAAGAAAATATATTTATTCAAATCTTTTGTGAATCCCAGAAATTGCACCAAACAGAACCAATTTCCCCTAAGGATATGCGAGGAAGTGCCAAATTACTTTGTACTTCAGACTTTAAAAATAACAGCATAGAACCTGAGAGGGAAAGTCATTAGGAGCTCACAGCTGCTACAAAGATCACGAGCTAAGTGACAAAGAAAAATTATCACAAGAAATGCTATACAAACAGCAGATGTAAGAGTTCAGCACTATGCAGACATTTCACAAAGGACTTGCATAGCAATTTTGATATCTTCCCCAACATTTACATTTTAAAAGTGCAAAGTATACTAAAACCTTGAACATTTTATAGCTTTTATATCCACATGACACTCCCAAATAACAATTGCTTCTCTCTGTCTTCCCCGACCCTCCGTAGGGAGAAACATACTGTGCTCAAGGAGACAAGCTGAGCAAAGACAAAGAGGAATCAAGCAAAACTCTCAGCTGCTCCTAATAGAATTTTCATAGTTCCACTTCTATCACAAATAAAAAAAAAACATATTAAAGTGTGCGCTTCCCCTAATTCTGTCTGTCAGCTCCAGTAAGAAAGAGACTTCTGATTACACAATGGGCAGGATCAGTTCAGCCTAGGACATAATCAGAAAAGCAGCAATATTTACATGCTATGTTGATTTAATATAATTTTGTTTTACCTATTTTTGCATTTAGAAATCATGCAACATCACTGCTGTACTGTCATAGGAAGCTCCTAAAAAACACTCTCCCTGCTGCTGAAAAACCTCATGTCAAACCCCACATCCCTGTATCACTACAAAATTCTTTTTAGAAGTTATTGGCATTGAAAAATTTATGCCAAATGCTGTAGAATTTAATATAGATTAATCCAATAAGGTTCTGTGGAGAATACTCTGAAAAGTTACAGAATTTAACAGGGAATTACCTCCCTGCTAAAGAATTTTTTCTGACAGTTTAAATACTACATAGTAAATGTATCATTTTCTATTAAATTCTATAGGATTTTTCCATAAGGGAATTGTTGGTGAGGTTAATCATTTTAATTAACCTTTTTATGGTGATGGTGACTGTTTCCTTGACTGTACGTGTTCCCAGCTGGCCAATATAAAGTTAATAGAACAGGAAGATTAAGCTAAGATGGTGAAAAACACAGCAGTGGAAAAGGAGGTCTGACTCTGTGAGAGCTGATGATCTGAAAACAGCTTTTCTTAACACACAGCATTCTAAATGCTTTTTAATACTGTGGGAAGCTGCTGTAATGGTGGATTTCCATGTCTGCACACTGAAAAAAACCCAGCAAAAAGGGACTGCTGAAAAAAAAGCTTCCCCCTTGCCAATATGCTTCCACTATTTTTGTCTTTTAAAAAAAAATCTTTAGCCCACTCCTCCAGTCCAGGGCACAGCCAAGGCTTTGGGACACTGCAGCAGTCCAACGAGAAGGGGTGTGAGGACATCCTCCAGCTCCACGCTGGCCACTGGCAGTGTTTGGCTGGGCAGGATGGAGAGATGGGGTTGAGAGCAGAGTGTGGCTTTCCATGCTCTCCTACTCTCCTGGGCTCATCTCTCCAAATTATAAGCACAAATTACTAAACCACAGCTCCCCCCACCAGACAGTAAGGACTAAGTTAACATTCCTCTGTTATTAAAGCCGAGCTGGTTGCCTTTCATTAATGCACAAAATGCTGCAAGAAGACAAGTTGCCGCCTGTTACCTGTGCCTCTGTTTAGAGCATTATTTGCCCCTTGGCAGAAGAGGATAGCCTGGTGCTAATAAATAACACCCCGGAGAAAGTCCCCAAAAGTCACCATCTTAATTTTGCCATTTTTCCACATTTATGTAAAGCACATATTTACTTTCCCAGAATTTTCTACAGCTTATGCAATGAACACCATGGGACTTCTAAACTTTACTGCTTATCAAGTCCTTCATTTGCACTTAAAACCATCACCATGATTGCATTATTATTACCATCTGCCTTTATAGGCAGGTCACCAGGTCAAGGCTGACCCCAGGCTGCTAACTGCAGCCTAAACAGATTCCTCTCACAATTAACACCAAACTGCTACTGGCACCTTGGAGTAGAACCGATAGTGTCCACATCACCACATCCATAATTCATCCATAAATTTTTCAGCTCTGGAGTATTTCCTTTGGCTTTCCTTGATCCTGCTTGGTCTCTTACACTGATCTTAACGGCAGCTGGCTTGCACACTGCTGCTTCTCATGTTTAACTTTGCAGAACACATTACTGTCCCAGGATGAATGAGTACAGGCTCTTATTCTGTCCTTTCAACTTATCATTGACAACCCAAGAAACCAAAGTACATGGTTTCAATTGACCGTTAGTTACTGTAAAAAGTGTTCTAGTCTATGCTATTATGGCTAATTTACCTTTTAATTATATTGTCCATGCTAATGCTAATTGGAATTTGATACACCCAGGTTTAACGACCCGGTATAATTGCCTTTCTGAAACAAGTTACAGATTAGCTTCTTCTAAACTTCAAAGAATTTCCATTTAAGTGTAAAATCAAACTGCTCCAGCGTCTTGCTGGCAATATAAGGTTCTGAGCAAGAATTTTTGCTACAGTGACTGAGCAGGAACTCGGTCTCTTGCTTCGGCCTTACGCAGCGCTGCTGTTGTTTCCCATTACTTCAGGCTGATGTCCTGGCAGGGGCTGAACTGTGAAAGCCTATGAATAGCAATGAGGAGGAATCACGAACAAAGAAAGGATCCTCATCTGAGGGACTAAATCAGAGAAGATCCGCAGCTCTGCTTTGATATTAATGTGGTATTTTTCAGCATGAAAGCGGCTAGTTCATGCACCCCTAAAATCAGTTTTGATCTATTATTTTAATCCCAAATTACAGGAATTCTGTGGTAGTGCTCTTGCTGTTTGTTTTATCACAGCAAACACGAAGACAGCATACCAACAGAGACTGCAGATAGTATTTGAAGATATCTCACAGGAACAGTGTAGATTTCTGTGATAATTTAGCACCAGTATAAACTCTCTGACGGCACTCAAGAGAGAGGTGAGCTGGGGACAGCCTAGAAAGAAGGCGAAAATAAACAAACCAAAAGGACTTAGCATGGGAATAACATAAAGGGATATCTTAAAATTCCTGTAAATGCATGAAAGAGGAGAGGACGGTGGAGGACTGTTTGCTTGTGGTATCCTGCCCTTCATTACTCAGGGAAGTGCCAGAGTCTGACCAAAACCTTGCACTGCCCATGCAATGGGTCCTCCAAGCAGGACTTCCAGGCAGAAACCTTGCGAATGGCTGTGGTACTGTGATTAGTAACAGAAAGTCCAGATATCTGAACTTCTCTTGTTGCTTCTCTTCATCTTTATCTCTTAATTCACAATACCCATTTTTGAGGGTAGGTGAAGCGGTGAGACAAGAATTGAGAGCTGCAGGAAAGCCCTATTCTGCAGCAATCCTTCCTCCTCCAGCTTCTCGGTGCTGCTTCCCTCTGGTTTCAGTACAGTAACGTACAGGCTGAGAACACCTTCAATTACGGCAATTTTGGGCCAGGGTTATAAACCATTCCCAATGCAGTATTGCCTGCTAGCAGCGTGCTTTTGAAATGGCATCCTTCTACTGCCAAATTCCTTGGTGTAAATGCAGCTGGAAGCATGTGTCTGGTGTGAGCTGTGTCTAATCTGTAAAGGAAGTCAGTATAACTACACAGGGCTTTTAGTGTCTCAAGAAATGTGCAAAGTGCAGCGTTATCTGCCTTCAATGCAGCCCTTTGCTAGGAAATAACATTATGAGGTCACCGGTTAAAAAGAGCCAGTGACCCTTTCCCTGACCAGCAGCAACCATGAGAATAACGTTAGCAAATCCCTGCCACAGTGCTGAAAATACAGATTTATATTATTTTCTTACATTTCAGGACATTTAGAAGAAGGTGTCACTGGAGTATAAAGATATTTTCAATTTATGTGATGAGGGAGCTAGACAGCCTGCCTCCAAGTTCAGCGAGCCTGTTCAGGCTCCAAATTGGCAATGAATCATTACACTCACACGGCCACGGGCAGGAGAGGTCTGTGGAGATTGCATTCACCCACTCTAATCGCTCCCGCAGCAGCACTGACTGACCCGCCCCAGAATTACAGAGGAGGGAAATAAAATTGTCTGATCTCAAAAATCCAAATACTGCATTAAACTATAAAAACTCACAGTTAGCTTTGGGGACGGAAGGTGATTTCTTGGCTTAGTGTTCCTTTCTCAGAGCAAGAGGACATGATCACTCAAAAAACCTTACTGTGTTATTCCAGTAACTGGCCAGGGGGAGGGAGTGAAAAGCTTTACTGTGGGAGGCTGCATTTCACACTGTTTTTAATACAGGAATTTGGAGGGCACATGTCCTATATAGTCAGGCTATCAGGGGAACTGAGGATGACAAATGTGAAATCAGTTTTTAAAATGAAATCTGGAAGGGGTTTCAGGCGCTGCAGCCCACTACATCTGATTCTCTGTGGGACAAACTGCTAGACACTGTAATAGAAGCCAGCAGAGCTAGTGAATGCCTCTAACACACTGGGGAGAGGCCTCTGAAAAAGTCTATAGATCGTCTAGCAGAGAGCAGCATATCAATTTTCAAAATGTGTGAAAGGGCCTCTCAGAAAATACTACTTAAAAAACTGATCTGTCTTGACACAAAAAGAAAACTCACCTTGTGCACGAACAGGTGAGAGGTGGGTCTCACCTGTCCAGGAATTTTCAGTGTTAAGCTTTCACTGGTGGGACCTTACGGGACCTAACCTACCCATAAATGGGCTGCAGAGGAGACAAAGTGTGTTTACGATCCAAAATTATTAGAACAAAAGCTGTTTGTGAAGGGAAGCAGAACCATCTCACAACGCCGAGTGGCCGAGTGGTAAAATGGCAACTGCAATCCAATGCTGGTAAATGCAAAGTGATGTACTTGGGAAAAACAACCCTAACTAACTACACATGCTGACAGGTTCCCAATTTGCTATTGCCATTCAGTGATGAGACCTTTGGGGTCACAGCCGATGGTTTTCTGGAGGTGTCAGCTGAGTGCTCAGTAGTTGTTAAAAACCAAATAGGATGTTAGGAGGGAGGAAAGAAATGGAAAACCAAACTGAAAACGTCACTGTGCTCACGCCAAACTCAGCAGTAAAGCATTTCATTAAATACCATGCACAATTTTGGCCTTTCCATCTTGAAAAGGATATGGTAAAGGAAGAAAAAAAGGCACAGAGGGAACAAGTCGTCATAAGTCTGGAATGGCTTCCTCCAACAACTTAAGTGAATAGTTCAGGCTTCTTCAGATTTGAAAATGGATTATTAAGGGGGAATATGGAGGCAGACAGTCATGTGAAGCATTTATGTAAATGGAGATGTACTTTGTAATGCAAAAACTAGGAGGCATCAAGAGAAGTTATTAGGCATGAGGTAAAAGCAAAAAGAAGCCTGTTCCTATGGAACAAATTGTAGAATTCATTGCCATGGGACACTTTGGACAAGTCCAAAAGCCAAAAAGGGTTCAAGAGGCAATTAGAAATTTAAGGTAGAAAGGTCTATCAAAGACTGTTAAACGTAATGATGCCAAGAAAGTCTCTGGCTAGACAAGGAGGAGATATAATCTCTGGCTCGGGAAGCCTCTCAATCTCTGTTCAGTCTTGCCCTCAAACCCTGCCCCAGTGCTGCCCTGTAAAAATGTGGTACCTCAAGCTATATGCCATAATAAGACAGTGTTGGAGCTACCTGAGAGCAAGCCAAAAACCTTCTCTGAACTTTTTTCACTCTAGTACTGAACAAATTCCAAGGCTGAATAAAAAGAGCTATGTCAGAGACCAGCACTGGTGGTGCAGCACCATGGACTTCATTTTAAAAAAGCTATTTGTTGTTCAGTATTAAATTGGGTCCTATATTTCTAATTTATATCAAAAATTGAAAATTCATGGGACTCAAAGGAAATCTTAACAATTCTGTATATACAAGAAATCCCAACTATCACCAGACAATAAAGCTGGCTACTCGCACTATGATTACCCAAAGGGAATAAGGATTCATTTTAGATGTACTTTCCAAGGAAAGATTTGTGAGTTCAAAGTCCTTTTTTCCTCTGCACATAAAACGCTTCCTAAGCACATTCACAAAATATTTAGCTGTAATTACAGCTCAATTTAGGAGGAGGAGCGAGTAGTCACACAATTTACTTTCAAAGGAATCTTCTTCATGTAAAACCCAACTCAATATAGCCCACAACACACTGCCAAAAACACAGGAAGATACTTACACCAAAATCTAGCAACAAACAAATGGAGGCAGAGTATTTGTGTGCCTAGCTTAGTCTTTTCCTTTTGCAGCTTCTACCTTAAACCTCCTCCCATGGAAATTTCTGAGGAGATTTTTGATCCTTTTTTCCTTTAACAAAAATCTCATGCACTGCCTGCCTTTGGAGAGGTTTATTTATTCTGTAGTATCGATCACATTTTTTTCAGCATCTCCTTGCCATCCTCTTCTCTCTTCCTTTTAGATGTAAAAAGCATATTTATTTTGTAAAAAGCCTGTATGACTGCAGAATCCACTACCTCTTTTCAGAAGTTCCCCAGGCATGATATGGCTGTGGTGCTTTCCATGCAAGGCCAGCAGCCCCGTAACACCAGATTTCCTCTTTCACCTGGAATCTTATTGTTTCTCCACAAAACATTAGCTAAGTCCTCACTGTAGCTGGCAGATACAACTCCAGCACACGAACCAAGGCTGGATCTGACCGTATATTAGAAGTTACAACCCCAGCCACTTCAACAGCTGCTGTGTAAATGTGACCTTGGGCTCTGCTATCCCTCAGCCACTCTCAAAACTGGGATTCTGATCTCTTGAGTCAGTTTGGGCACTCGAGAAACATTTTACCTATGGCTCTGTGAAAGATCCTGGGTTTCAAATCAGACCCATGAGGCATCAGCAGGGCAGAACATCAGCAGTGAAGGGGAGCTGGATGGTTTATCTCAGACAGAGGTCATCTTGTTCCTATTCCTCCTTACTCTAGGAGGAGCTTTCATTTACTCTTTAGGAAGCTGAGACCTCAGCTATGGAGGGGTACATCTGGAGTAGCTATACTGACTTCAAAGCAGATGCTCCAGGTTTTACAGCACAGAGAATAGAATTTGGCGCACAAAGTGCAGCTGGGAGGAGTTTAACTTCCCTTCGGAGGGGACCCTGTGCTCCCCAGAACAGGAGTAATTGGCCAAAGCTCTCCTCGACTGGCTGCCACAGCATGGCACTCGCAGCAGGGAACTCCAGGAGGAAGAGAAAAAATAAGGCTATTAGAGCAGTGTTTTTCTTTGCTAAAACACGGGCGGAAGGTGTCCAACATTTGTTAATAGCAGTGATTTTGCGACAGCTGAAGCAAAGCCTGCTTAAAGCCAGACCAAGTTTACAGATGTGTTGCTGATTATTTTGAATAATTAAGTGGTGTAAAACCCAGCTGTGATGAATAGCATTGGGGTCACAATTCATAAATAATTGAGAAGAGTGAGTCGCATTTGATCATCCTGATCAAATTCTACTCTCTGGAGAATAAATGTTTGTCCTGAATACCATCAACATTGTTAAATGCCTCAATATTCCTGCTCAGCCATCCAGCCAGCAGTCAATTGAACTAAATCACTTTAACACCTTACACATTTGCCTTCCTCATGAATACAAAATATTTCTAACTTACACAACGTTTTTTGGGCATCAGACAAAGCAGCCACTCTTTATAGACAGTAACCAAACAGCAACAATAAACGTTTTAAATGATCCCATTAAAAACAATTCCTGCATGCAGTCTTGTCTTTACACTGCAGTAAGCAAAGAAGCTGTAGATATAAGGCCACCTATTTTGGTTCACTGGCTTGTTTGTAAGCACAGCTGCCTCTCTGCTTCACATGCAGCACGCAAACACAGCTTCTTTTGCTGGTGGGGAAGCCAGAAGAGCAGCTCCATGTAATTTCCTGGGGGTCCTCCTGCTTCTCAATACTTCCAAAAGTTCAGCAGTGACTGCAAGTAGACTGAGTGAAGGAAAAGCCTGACTCCACAGCCTGTCCTCATGCTGCTTGATGCTTACCATGCTTGCATAATATGGGTTTGGTAACCCAGAGGTGGAAAACTACTTTCATGAAACTGGAATTGCCTCCAAATGAGAGCAGATTTATAGGTCAGAATCTGTCCTACACAGGTAAAAAGATGCAAATTTTAAAATAGTCACATTAAGTAACTACCACCAACTAAATCCCAAATCCTTTCTCCTTGGTTTTACTGGAACCAAATAACCAATGACCTTAATAGCAATCTTTCTTGAACAGAGCAAGAACAAGGAACTGACCCACAGTTTGGGTTTTCATACAAGACTAAATTCTACAACTTTTACTCATTGTAAGCACTATTTTACTACTTTGGACTTTTCAGTGTGACCGAGAGGAGCAAATTCTGGACCAAAAAGAATAAAACAATCTGCACATTGTAAGAAAAACCTGGAGTTAAAAACAACTGTTTGTATCTTTATTTGTTTCTGAGGGCTTGCAGGCAGCTTTTCCTTTTTAATAAAAACTTGGGAGGGTTCCCCCTTAAAGGCACCAAATCTGTGGTGGTTAGAAAGCATCTGTAAATGTCCAGTCCCACACTGATCATAGCTGTTAGCAAATTGGTATTATCCTGTTTCTCCTGATACATTTGAGCACTGCATTTACCTGACATGACAGCCTCACACAGATGTCACACGGTCTCTAATTATTAATACACAATTAACTTTAGGAAAACAACATTTTATTGGTGGATCATTAAATCGTACCTCAAAGTCTTCTGAGAACCCATGCTGGTTATTAGAATACAGCTCACTGATGTGTTTAACAAACTGTTTGACTGGAATTGCTTCCATATCATCTGTAGGAAAAAAAAAAAAAGAGAGAGATTCAGAGTTGCTCTTTGTCTCATACATAAAACTTCAGGGGAGGAAGTCTTCACTTGATAGCACTTGGGTCTGAGTTCCCAGGGGCAGAGCTAGTTCAATACGCAGTAACAGAAATCTTGAGGAATCTGGCCAATTTTGAGGTAAACATTTTTAGTTACGAATACTGAGAGCCTGTTCCCTGGGATGTTAATTTACAAAGTCCAATTGAAGTTCAAGGATCATTTAGCTCTTGCTCACAGTCTGAAGATGGCTCTGGATAGGATGGAGAGGCCTCCTCTTCTTCCACATTGCATAAAAAGAACAGAGGAGACCCAAAACACGAAAGCAGAGTTGACAATTACTCTCAGTAAGTTTTTGCCAGGCTGAGCAGACGCACAAGCCTTTCTCACCAAAGTTAATAACTTTTTCCCTTTTACACAATGACGCAGAATTCAGTTGGAGTTATCATGGAACTGCAAAAGAACAGGCAAACACAACAGCCACACTAATTTGAGTTCTCTCTCATGCCAGACACTATTCATAACACTGAATATGTATTCCACTGGACCATTTGTTCTTGCTCAGTACAGTGCAAATTCCACCCAATATACCAATAAATCACCCACAGACACTTTCTTAAAGAAGTGGAAAGCTTTAACTGAATTAAAGACAAACAAGACTGTTTTGAGCACCTGGGACCCTGGGCAGATAATAAAGCTGAGGTGTAGGATGGCTGCCTTACTTATCTATTTCTCTATTCCTCTCTCTCTCTCTCTCCCCCTCAAAAACAGGCCTAGATATTGTTAAAATCACCACTGCAGTTGGCAGAAACACTGTCCTCGCCAAGATTCACCAGTTAATATTTTCAGTATGGCATTTAGAAAATGCAAATCACTATACAACTGTGATTACTTTCAGCATGTGAAATAATCTATTGCCTGATGGCTACTATTGTCTGATTGCATGATTTTATGGCAATACTCTCGTATTTATATATTCCATTTAATATTCTTCTGAAGATTGCATCCAGTTTATGTTTACTCCAAGTAATTCGGTGGTGTATTTTTGCTCCCATTTAGCAGCCATATGGTTTGGTGCTACAGCTGCATTATAATCTGGATTCTTTTCCTTTTAAACATCTACATTATGATAGAAAAAATCCAAATATTTCTACAGATACTTAGCAAAATTTAACGATAAATAAATAGATGTGACATTTACTGTATTCAGAGTGAAAGATCTTTGGCAGCTAAAACCTCTAAGCTGTCACATACGCTTTTCTTAGCAAAGGGTATGAAGATCTGTATGTGTAAATGAGGTTCTAGTTTGGCAAGAATTTTATAGATCCCTGACAATCTGATTTCTTTCCAGCTGATGGCAGTTAATATTGACCATGTCATTACTTCTCTCCTTTATTTTATCAGGTAACACTCTAAGGTGACTTTTTGCATCTATTGACATTTTCAGATCTCAATCAGCTTTCTTCTATTTTATTTACAAGGGCCAATTGTTAAAGATATGTTTGCAATCTGGTCACCTCACAGTATAGTAATGCTACTTTAATTAACCACATGCTCGTTTACTGAATAATACAGAATTCAAAAGATTTGACAAGTGTATGCTCCTCTTAGCAAAAAGCTGCAGCCTGCAGAAATGCTGGCATTTTAAAATATTGAAGTGATAACATTTATTCTATGTAATATTGAGAATATCATCATCTCATAACAACATTTGTATTAATATTTTTGCAGCCAAGACACTTCAATTGAATGATCTATAGGAACAGAATTCAATAGCAAGAACCTGTAAAACTATTTCCTCTCCTGAAAAGTAACCTATACATCCTAGATTTCCTTGAAAATAGCTTGTGCTATGATAGCAATTTCATATAGTCTCACAAGAAAAGTTCCACAGTTCTAAATTTTTTTTTCTTTGCATAGTCTAGCTCAACTGAGACCAACCGAGATCAAGGATTCACTGCAGCAGACCAGTGTGTCCAATTTAGTTTTGCAGAAGGCAGAATTTAATTTTAATTGTGATCTGTGAGCCAAAAAATACATTAGAGATAACGTGCTCTCCAGTCCATTGAATTGCCACCAATTTCAAGGATGGGTCTGCACCAGAGATCCATGGCAAAGTATGGTTAGTTTTCTTTTTATCACTGTCACTGCATGGTGGCAGTGTGTCTCCACCTTTACAGCCACTGCTACTTCACTTCTCAGTTGTTCTCTGTCCTTTAGCGTTTCTTCTCCCTTTTTCCTCTTCTGCATTTTCATTCCTATTCTGTCCAGGAGCCTTAAACCCAATACAGTTTCCACCCTATTTGATAACCTAGGCAACAATTACATGTTAAATAAATTAAATAGGAAATACTGTTGAGATATCCGCTCACTGGGTGAGGGGGAAATGAAGTTGCCCATAAACTCAGGAAAAACATGTTGCAGCAAATGTAATTATTAACTATTAGGAAGATTAAAGTCAGAACCATGACCGTTAGGAGCTCAAAAAATCGTTTATGGTTTCCAGTTTTCAAACTGGTGGGATAACATGGTCCTACGGACTGGGACAGGCACAGCCCTGAGGGGATGGGCAGGGTGCTAGGACAAGGAAGGAGTTGATAATGAGATACAGCCTTTTACATTAACCAATGGAACAGGAGAGTGTTAACGTAATTTGGGACTTCATTTTCCTATTCACAACCTCCAACTCCAAACTCCCACCCAGAAACACAGATTACCTTAGCGGGCTCCATGCACGCTTAGCCATAGGCAAATTGCCAGACTTCTGGTAAAATATGTGCCAACATCCTCAGCACTCTGGAATGGTGTCTGCTCTGACTGCACCTGAAGATGGCTGTGACCTTCTCCAAGAAAACCCAGAGATGCAGCCAGATGCACAGAATCTGCTTTTCCTTGCACTATCGTCAGCCCAAAGGCTTTGGTTAAGCCTTCTTTCCATCTTAAAGTAAACAGACTTCAATGACTATAATTCTTTCAGTCAATTGCAGAGATTAATAGAATCCTATAATGGCTAATTAGCAAGCTCCCCATAGTTCTGTCCATATTCCCTTTTGCACCATATACTTTTTCCCAGAAAGAAGATGGAGTGGCATTTGATATTGTCAGTGTGATCCTTACGTTTTGCAAGACCTACACATTATTCAAAGCAAAGAGGGAAATGTTTTAATAACATGCCTTCACCTCTAACACTGCAGATATAATTACAGTTCTGTCTAGCTTGGGTTTAGCCATCTGTTTTATCAGTGTCAATAAAGTGATTCTGGATTTACTTCCCTATGAAATATGAGCTGAATCATAATAAGGACTAACCCTTTGTGTCACACAGAGAAAGAAGTATTCTTAGATGGACTGGGACAAAGGGCTCCAGAACTGCATATATATTTATCATTATTATAAACAACATGAATTTTAGTAATGTTTATATAATCAGATACTACTGAAACTGACAGGTGGGAGGGCATGTTTAATTACTGTGCTAGATATTTAACACGGTGGTGGAGTTCCCATCCTCACTTAGCTGGTCTAAGACAAGTAGCTGAGAGGAGTGTCAAATAAACCCAAAGCATCGCACAGTGCAGCTTATTCCTTGCCACAAAAAGACAGTGCCAAGAAGAAAGTCGTGTTTGTTTAAAAAAATTATATGATTGTAGAGGAAAACCTTCACTAGTATTTTCTTTTTTAAGAAATGGCAATTGCCAGTGCAGAATATTTAGTACATTCCCTCATAAGACAACCACCTTCAGAAGAAGCCTGAAGTGTATAAAAGCAATAAAGTTCGAACAGGGTTACATTTCAAGTTCGGATAATTAGTAATCCTACCAGGAAGGATTTTCCCATAGCTCCCACTTAATAGGCTGCCTTTGTAATGTTAAAGCAATAGGGGCCAATTTCAAAAGAAAAATAGGATATCCTATCAGAAATGACATTTCCACATAATAGGGCCTCAGATTCATTTTGATTCATTTATAGCCTGAGAGCTCACTGGATAGTTTAGTGGCATTGTATTGGAATAGATGGGTTTGGGTCAGGAATTAATCCAAAAGGTCAAACCCAAAGTGCTTCCTCATATTACCTTCATTTAGTTTTGAGTTTGGGTGTTTCTGAACACCAGATGTCTGACACATGTGACAAAATCTTAGTAAGAAAATTCTCCACGTCTTTAATTCTGCTTGTAAATGCTTTCTGTTTTTCAGCTATTATCTCAGCAAGCTTACTAAATCCAATATAATCCTTGCATCTTACGCCTTATTCTTAATGTGAACTGTGATTTTGCTTGTTTGTTAGTTGCTGTCTCTCACTGACAAAGCCACCTGGACTCATGCCATGGCTGCCACGTGCCTTGGCCCATCTGCTCCAAGAGCAGCCCCTTACTGCACCGCCCAGCAGCCCTGTGCCACCCCTGCGTCTCAGCAGCACCTCCATCAATTCTCAGCGTGTTCTTCACAGCTGGCTTCAGCCAGAGGACAAGGGGATTCTCCCACTCCCCTCTCTCTGCCCTGCAGGGCTGAGTAGTGAACTGAATCGGCTTGCTGATCTGGCTGATGACTATAAGAAAGGATTAATCCATTTGTGGGGAAGGGGAAGAAGGATTAGTTGTCAGTGGGGTAGATAGGTTGATACTCATTAGGATGAAGAACAGTGAAGTGATAGGGAAACCGTCCTTTCTGAAGGCAGCACAAACCTAACTTGGTTTATGATGATCGTGAAACCAGTGACATTGTTAGTGACATTAATCCTGGAGAATCCACTTTCAACAGCATGGCTTGCAGTTCTCATTTTCTGCAAAAAAGTTTTCCCAAAATATCTACCAATAGGATTGTAGCAGGACTGGATTTGACCTTTTAACTCACTGAAATATAATACATCTGAAAAATGCTTTCCCATATTCATAGCAAACAAGCATCTTTCTGTTCCCAGCAGCACTCAGCCCTGAGATGTCAATCTTGCATCCTCTTACCCTCCACTGCTGGAGA